GGGGATAGGGAGGAAGGGAAAAAGGGGAGGGGTATTGGGGAGAGGGGGAGGGGACGCCTGCTCTAAGAACCCCCTTTTGTTCATATCTGCGGACACTGGCGTCCGCAAATTCCTGATTGGCTGAGCCGTAATGAGTAACATATTGAAATGGGCGTTTCACAAATCAACAAACAGTCGAGATGGCAGCGGTAGACGTGGATGTCGCAGAGAGTGCTTTGAGACATGTGAATTTATCTAGTGCTAGAGAAACTGTTTTAAAACCAGAGCAAGAATCAGCAGTAAGGGCTCTTTTAGCCGACAGAGGTGTTCTGGCGGTTTTGCGGACCGGATACGGCAAGAGTTTAATTTACCAAATGTTTGTTCGCGCGAAGAACTACGAGCTAAATGGTAATGCGGCGATTCTCGTCATTTCGCCACTGAAAAGTATTATCGAAGACCAGTTTCAGGAGATGGAATTGTTGGGCTACCCAGCGAAAGATTTAGCCAATTTATCGAACGATGACATTCGCCGATGTAACTTGGCAATAAAAGAGGGTGGTTTTACCTCATGCCAAAATGCTGCTTATTCCAATAAAGTTGTTTTTATCTGCTGGGTAGATTATGCTCTGGAAGGTTCTGCATTTATACTGAGCAAATGTTATTTTAGCCGCATGTTTCACACTGAGAGGTCATGATACATATCGATTGACTGTAGTTATTGTTTTCTGGTCGGAAGGATTTGCCGTCTGATGCAAGCGCAATTTCTTTGACCTGTTTTGAAGCGTAAAGCTTTTTTTATTACGGCTGAATAAGGGTTCCAATTTTCTCCAAAGTGCCTTCTGGATCTGAATAACTAAGCGAATTTCTTTAGTCCGTGAGTGTCATGTTTTTCTGCAACGGCGAGTGTAGCGACACTTGATTGACAGTAAGCGTAATCGGATTACTAGAAAATTGGAAGGCGTTATGCAAAAACACAGGCTCTTAGAGCAGGCGCTCCCTTCCCTTTTCCCTTCCCCCCCTCCCCCTCCCCTTTTTGCGCCTGCCACGCAGGCTATAAGACCCCTGGTTGTAAGAACACTTGGTTGTAAGAACCCCTGGTTGTAAGACCCCTGGATGTAAGAACCCCTGGTTGTAAGAACCCTGGCTGTAAGAACCCTTGGTTGTAAGACCCCTTGTTGTAAGACCCCTGCTTGTAAGAACCCCTGCTTGTAAGACCCCTGCTTGTAAGAACACCTGGTTGTAAGACCCCTGGTTGTAAGATCCCTGGTTGTAAGAACTCCTGGTTGGAAGAACCCTTGGTTGTAAGAACCCCTAGCTGTAAGACCCCTGGTTGTAGGAACCCCTGGTTGTAAGACTCCCTGGTTGTAAAAACACCTTAATTGTTGTAAGACCCCCGGTTGTAAGGTCTCCTGGTTGTAAGACCCCTGGTTGTAACCCCTCGGTTACCCAGGTCTTGCACCGATTCTACTACGCGGGAAAACATGTAACAGGCGCTGAGTTCAGGAATGGGAGTGCGTCGCAAGCAGTACGAAACACCGGAAAAGATGCCGTTGACGCCAAATGCAGGAGTTGAAAGTGCAAAGCCCGAGAGAACAAACAGTCGGTGCCAAGTGCAGGAAATGCAACTGGTGTAAAGCGCGAAAACAAAGGTGGAACCACTGACAAGACCAAAAACGTTTATAGGCCATTTGCACTAAGAGGTCATGTGACATTATTTTTATGAAAATGAAAGTTATACGATTCTGCCTTCAAAAAACCATTAATGGGTCATATCTTAACCAAAATAACAGTGATTAATTTTTTTAACCCCCCATGAGTCAGTTCATAGCTGGTCACGTGGCCAAAATGTGATTTCTAAAAGGATGATTTACTTCTTTCCGAACAGAAATTTTGCAGTTAGACTTCAAGGAAAATGTTGAAAAGATGATGTCGTAACGTTTTCAGCATATCTGAGCGTAACTATCAAACGTTTAACGAGATACAAGCAAAAAGTAGTTTTGGCCACCATGTTGAAGGGCAAGAGTATGCCCTCCAACATGGCGGCCAATACAAATCATACTATTTTATTGAAAAATCAAAGTGCCATAAAATATCTCCCTTAAATGCCTTTCTTCTCACATTCCAGGTGTAAGTTAATTTTTATGCCCTCCGTCAATTTTGGGCATCAACACGATTCCAACTCATTGTTTAAAAGGAAGCATTGGTCACGAGTAGTAATAGGAGGTAGTTCTGCCAGTAGCCAATCAGCGATCAGTATTTAGGTCACGTGGTATGGATTAGCCAATCAGGAGCGAGTATTTTGACAGGTAAGCAAATCGCATTGTACGTACTTCCGCATTCCATTCTCGTTTGATGGGTGTTTGACAGATGGTTGATGGATGACGTCATAGGAGGGGTGTTTGACAGGTGGTTGATGGATGACGTCATAGGAGGGGTGGTTGACAACCGGAAGTGACTCCCCAGTCCACCGGAAGTGGCTGCGCGACCGGAAGTGATCGTGCGACCGGAAGTCAACCTCTCAACTAGTCCCCAGTCCCGGAAGTGACCTCGATAGCGGAAGTCAAGAAATGTGCTCTATTGAACAATAGGATAACTGGCCTTTATATTTGTGTTGCATGTTGTACGCTTACGCTTGTGGTAATGCTTTGGGGTGATTTGAATCAGCGCATGCGCGTGGAGTAACATTAGGTAGGAGCATTGTCTTATAACCTAGAAGGGATGACTTGACCTTTATATTTGCAGTGAATGTGGTACCCTCACCCTTGTGGTACTTCTTTGTGATAATTTCCAACAACGCATGCGCATAAAGTAACATGTGTGATTGTCGCGTACAGTGCCACCGGAAGTCAAGAAAGCAACCTATGAGATTGCTTTTGACGTCAGCAAGTCACGTGACTGTTCGCTAACTCCTCCCCAGGTCCCCGGAAGTGACCGGAAGTCAAGAAAAAAGACACACTGTAATTGTCAATAAAAAAATCACTTTTTTGATTTAATACAACTTCCATGTCGTGCTTTTGCAAATCGTCTTGCTTTGGTTGTTTAGGTTTATCAAGTTACCCAATTTCTTCTGCTGCAATCGTGAGGACTGAGTTCAGTTTGGTACTCTTGTAGAACATGATGAGCAAAGTTCAAAACCTTGGTTGGGCTGTTTGAACTTAACGAGACAAACATTGCAGAGGAATTTTTCTTGAGTACGAGATAATCGTTGATTTTGTTCGAGATATTGCGCCTTTGTGAAATCCAGTTGACGTTGTAGGTTTTGCAGTTGTTCGTTTTGTTTTTGTATGATTTGAAGTAGATTAGCCAATGTTGTTTTATATTCTTTGCATTTGCGACATCTTTTTATCGGTAAAGGTAGTGACAAACATCTTGCAATACTTTCCATGATGCTGTTCCTCTACGTTGACTCGTCAGCAACTTTTTTGTTGTTTGCGGTGGTTATTGAACCTTCAGGACTTGACTCCACGCTTTGGTCCACAATTGATCAATTAATTCTCGAAAATGAGTTTCGTTGTATTTTTGAATCACTTGGCTGATCTGACGTTTTTTTCTGGATCGAACATGATTATATACCTCTTGAAAAGGAATGTAATTCATGCTTTCGGGTGGAATGGTTTGTAAGTGATCATGAAAGACTTTTTCCAGTTGTCTCCATTGTTGTTTTCTTCGTTGTACGGCTTGTTTGATTTCTTGTACATCGGATGGAGATAATATATTGTTAAAATTGTCACGTTCAAGTTTGATCATGAAAGATTCGTGAAAATCGTCCAAATCATCCACTGACAATAGCATTTGTTCAAGAAGATTCTCCTTTAGGCGGAATCTTGCTTCGTTTCTTGCTAGAGCTTGGTATTTGTAGTTTTCCTTGCGACTTGACATGATACGGGCCAATAGCTTCATCCGTTTGTCAACATTTAGTGAGACGTTTGCTTTTTAATACACGACTAATCACTCGATGCGTATAGGCACTGGTAAAATGAAAATGCAATAGGCAATAGTGCATTGCATCGAGATTGTAAGAAAAAACATTGTGTTTGTTAGAGGAATAAAAACTACAACACCACACTGAGTAGAATTTGGTATAAACAATCTCTTTTATTCATAAGCATAACAACAACGTGATTACATGCCCAACTTGAGTTTAGCTTTCATGATATTTTTGACAATATGTTCCGTCAGACTTTTCTGACCTGGCAGTTTATCGATCTTGGCAATCATCTTGCGATCTGCCATCCATTTGTCCTTCAAGTTTTTGGCTCTAGCATAGTCAATGTCATGGGCTTTAGCAATCTTGTCTAACCTGTTGATGCCTGGGTCACCGCGGGCTAAACGTTTCTCCAAATGAGTCCCAGGTCCCATATACTGATAACCGGGCCAATGAAACTCTATGCCCGTCTTGGCCAATAACTTTTGAACATCAAATAACTTGCCTCCGCGTTGCGATCGTCGTCGTCGCTGGCGGGTTTTAGGTGCGGCACGGCGTCTCTTGGTCCGTCTCATCATGGAGTTTTCCACGTTTCCCACTCCAAGGCTTTCTTGGCCAGACTTTCTGCTTTCTTTTTGGCTGCGTCGGTGGCTCTTTTGCGAATGCCGCGCTTGACGGCTTTCTTGATAGATTCCGCACGTTCACGGGGTGTATCCCAAGGTTCAACACCGTACGTGTCTGAAAAGGGTAACTCTTGAGCCAACTCTTCGGTGCTCGCCTCGGGAGTGAACTTGAGTTTCTTTTTGGCACTCGGGGTGATAATGGGTTTGGGTGGTACGCGTGGTTTTCTACCGGGTCTGGAGGGTCCTGCAGGAGAGGCACTTTGTTTTATACCCTGGCTAGCCTTGACTAGTTGCGTCAACCAAGCTTGCACTGGACCAGCATCAAACTCATCTTCGCCCGTTTCAGTCGCAGGGGTGCCTGTAGCACTTACCCCACTGACAGGGGCACCAAACGGTTGGCGTACTTTTTTGGTCCAATGGCGTAATTGACGACCCACGGCTTTGAGTTGAGGCCGTTTCCACGCATCGGGCACATCACTGGTCAAGAGCACATGTTGTTTGGCAGCTAAATCTGCCGCTTTGGTCAAGCGAGTATCTTCCACCAACTCTTGTTTGTACTTGTCTCGTAATTGTAAAAAAGCCGGAGCATTGTCCACAGAGGTGCTCACCATCTCTTGCTCCATGGTGTAAATGAGGTACAATGTCTAACGCATGGTACGTTTATAGCATCGGTAGAGTTCGGACCAGAGAGTGCCGCCTTTTTGAGACATCATGATAGCGCGTCGACGTTTGACCGAATGAGCCGGTTTGGCCATGGCTCTTAAACTCTGAGCATGGGGTTTCAGCAAAGTGATGGTGTGTCGAGAACGGGGCACGGTTCCGCGGATCGTGTTCATGACCAATTCACTGATGGCATTAATTTGATCCGCATTGGCCATCCGTAACAATTCTTGTCGTTTATGATTGTCCGCTTCTCGCAACACACTCTTCAGAAACGGAGCTTGACGTTCCATGCGCCAATCCATGGTGTGATTGTTGCTTTGGGTCATCCACCGAAGGTCTATTTATGGTAAAAAGTGCTCCACACAGTTCCCCATGATAATATTGTTGCATGTGGTCGCGATACTGTTGACACAACTGGTCTTCAAAATTTTTGTCGCACTGTAAAAAATAATCGTTAGAACCTTTTTTTCTTCTTCTGAGCACTGCATCGCTTCTAACCTTTCCACACCCATGTGCGTTTCTTGACCTCGCAAGGCGAGAGAGCCATCGCCAACACGAGTAGCACTCTTCCACGTTGCAATCCATGTTGCCAGCATCGATTTCTGGGGAGCTAACCATTTCGGCCTCTAGTTGGTGCAGGTACCATCATTCAATGGAGTCTTTATCAAACCCTTTCATTTCTTTTTATAACGTGCATGGAGTTTAGAAAGCCCATCCTGTGCGTTTTAACGCACGCTCAACGTGTCGTTTATTGGCCGCTAATTGGGCTGGACTGAGTTTTTTTTTCTTGCGCGTAGCCGCGTCGATAGCTTTTTTGGCACCGTAGCTCGCACCGCCACTAACAGCTCCTAGCGCTGCCGCTTTGCCGAGAGCGATGGCAGCGGGAATGAGGAACGGGAGAATACCCCCTCGTTGCTTTCGTCGCCGTCGTCTGCGTTTGGGTGGCATGATGGGTTGTACAACATCTGATGAACCTTTTTCACGACGTGTCTCGTTTTTATAGTCTCAAGGCTCGGCGCGTTGCTAACTGTTCGTCGAACCTCACATTAGGTGAAAGGACTATTTTCTTTTTTACGCTTTTCCAAGGTGGTGGTGCTGACGGTAAATCCACATCTATCGGAGACAGAGTGCAGGTATTCAGACGGGTTGATAATTCAGTGTGTTGTCCTCCTTCTCTTTGCCGACGTTGACGTTCGCGTTCTCGTTGCAGTGCGTTTTCGAACGAAAGGGACATCCGAGGGCAAGGTATGCACTTGCGCTTTACCTTCTCGGGGTGTTAAATGACTCCACAAACGGTAACGATCATCCGAGGCAGGATGCACATCCAACATCAAATAACCAAAAGGGCGCGATGTGACACGATTAAATAGTCGCAAGACTTGACGCCAACGGTCAGGAAAGGCTTGAAGTAAAATGGTCCTTATGCCCGTTTGATCTCGTGGGTTTTTGAAGGTCACAATGTAATGCACATTGCGATTAATTGTCTTGGAGAATTTACCGGGTGGAAATAAATCTTGCGTCAAATACAGCACGGTAATGTTGCGATGATGGGAATCTTTGGTAAACAAGTCCAACACGCGTTTGTCTTGTCCCCCTTCTTCCATTAGATCATCCAAGACCAACACACCCCCTCGCGTGGGGCCAAACCATTTTGTCAAATGACTAGGGTCCGGTAACCCGCGATGAAATCGAATGCCATCCTCTTTTTGCATACGCTCGAATCTGGGTTGCCATCGGTCATACGCATACACCGTGGTTTTGGGTTTCACTTGAAACACGTTCAGGTACCGCAACCATTGTTCCACCAAGTCGCTCTTGCCACTGCCCGAGGGTCCGGCAATAATCACGCTACTTGGTTGTCGTATCATCCTTCCCACGGGCGAGGTAGACGTCTGTAATGACCCGTGGCACCTTTGGCTCCCATTCGTTTATACCGTTTATCACGTCCCAATTTATAACCGATTTTGGCCGCTTTGGTCAATACACCAATGATCCCGCGCCCATTTTGAGGAATTCGCCATCGTTGGGAGGTTCTTAAGGGTTTTCTTTTTCTTCTTCTCGGCATACCGTCCAATACTCGCGGTATAATCGAGGAGACGCTGACTGAATGAGGTGTTGCATACATTCCCTTAAATACGATTCACCCATGGTGTCCATGTACGCTTTAAGAGACATCCATTCTCTATCTTGAGCTAATTGTCTGGCTAATGTCCAATGATACCCATCCCATGCATCATTGCCTCGGACGGTTTGAACGCGTTCGATGGGATGTAACCACCAATAAAGAGATTCTTTCAAAATGAACGCATCGATAACGCGCTGCACATCGCCGCGTGTAATCATGATGAAAAAATGACACCTTTTGTTGCTGCACTTGCCTTTTTTATCATAATGATAAGACACTACACACATTTGACAAGTAAATCACGTTTTTTATTACATTTTATTACAAAGTAGAAAGGCCTGGCGGCTCAAATTACTTTGCCCATCCGGTCGGGCATCCACTTCATCTTGTAATTCACGTTTAATCACCCGTTTCAAGTCTTGGGCTACTTTATGATCATTCAACACTAAATTATCGGTACTCCAACTTCCCAAAAAGTCCTTGTAGGTCTGTCCTTGCGCTCTGGCTTTAAGGAAAAATAATGCATAATGACCACAGGTCTGACTATCCATGGCTTGCAAGGTAGTGTCACTGCGAGTTAGGTACTTCCATTGACTCCACCACTTGTGCAACTCTGCATTTTTGTACACGTGCAAGGGTAGACCATAACTGTCAAAAATTTCACACTTATTTTGTTCTGTCCACATGCCCAACCAATGTTGTCCTGGTTCCCCCGCTGGATCCGTGTTGACAATGTAGGCCGCGCGGACGGTTTGGGGAGGTGATGGAGGTAGTTTATCGGCTGGGTACACACCTTGAAACACGCGTCGTAATTGAGGATCATCTAAGGCCAACGACCGCAACACAGTATCGCTGAGCGCCACAAACTCCATGGTTGGCTTCTTCTGAAGATGGTTCAACCGTTGATGTTGTACTTTATACCTCCCAGATGATTAATCTCGTACATGTTTTCATACTCGCTCCACACCAACACGGTGATGTTGTGATTAACAGCGGCCCTGAAATCAATCACCAGTCGCACATTTCCCGATTGGCGGGGGTTGCGATACTGAGGGTCATCGGCTTTGCCGCTTGCCACATTGTTGAACATAAACAATGTGCAGTTGTTGCCCTGTCCCCAATCACTAGGTAACAGCATGGGGATCTTGTCTTCATTGTAGGAACCCATGGCTTGTAGAAACCGATCGTAGCCCAGTAGATCTTCATAGGCTTCATCGCCTGTTAGTTCTAGGGTTTTGTAAGGATATTCTTCTCCATTCAAACTTTGTCGCACTCGGGTGACCCCAAACTTTTCAAAGGCAAAGGGGTATCTTTCTAGGTCACCATTGAAGGCATTGGAATGCAGCAATCCTACAATCACTCGATCGGGAAATCGACCCACAAACACATTGTCTTGTTCCCACTGGGTAGTTCTTCCATCAAAGGAGAAGGTACGGATTTCACTTCGAACCACTGGGTAGCGCACAATCTTTTTTCCCAGCTGTCTTTCTTTTTGCAGTCTGACATAGACACTCGCGTTCAAGGTCACTTTTCGCATCAGTAAGGTGACTTTGATGTCATCATTATGGATGGCTGGAAATTTCTTGGTGGTCAAGGTCCCTTTGTTTGGGGTACCCATCAAGTACACAGAGTTGGGGTTTAGGAACAATTCAAAGTCTAACTGCACACCAGGCACCAAACATTTACCCGTCTTGACAGTTGGTAAATGAGGACGAATGATAAAGGTGTGCCAATTTTCGCTCAGCAACCGGCTGGTCAAGGCTCGCAATTCTACATTTCCATTCCAATTAGCAGCGGTAGGGGTATCGGAATTAGCACCTGTAGTCCCCATTTCCTCAATCACATTGAGTTGATTGACCCAACCTTGAGAGGCTAACTTGGTGGCTCCTTCTTCTCTGTTGTAATTCAATAAGGTTTCCAAGTAGGCTCTGTAATGATAGGTATTGCTCTGTTCAGTCATGAGCACACCATTCAGGCTCATGGTAATATCTCGAAAGATGGAGTGGGCAAAATTGTTAACGCAGTAGGTGTTTCTGGTATTGTTGGCATCGGAATCGGCCAAATTGGCTTTCAATCCTGCATACCCACCGGCAGGATCAGTCAGGCGTACTTTGACTTGAAAACGGAGTTCGTTGAGATCATAATAATCTTCGGAGGCCGGGATGGAAAACGTGATGGGTTGTATTCCCGTCAAGGCAGGTTGAAACGTCACGTCCCTGGAGGCTTCGTAGCGGTAATCCACATTCGGGACATCAAACAAATTGAGCGACATGTTTTTTTTTCGGTCAGCCCCAAGTGCACAATGAGAGTGAAGACGTTCAACGACGTTTCCTTTTTATAGCGTTCCGAGCCAGCCAATTGGGGTCCACCTGGTAGTCATAGGGGGTCATCCAGGGATAACGCATACGCATTCGCGTGGACTTGCCAAAGATAGTTCCCCCTTTCATACGTTGCTTCAACCAGCGTTCTATCATCAAATCATTCTCTTGGGACATAGATGGGAATCTCAAGGGATTTTGCATTCGCATGCGGGTGGACTTGCCAAAAATCGTACCTCCTTTCATCTTGCCACGTTGCTGCAGGTGTTTCCTCATCCAACGTTCTAGTGCTGGGGATGATGAGTACATGAAGGGATAGCGCGCTGTGGTAGATTTACCAAAGATAGTCCCTCCCGTTTGATACGGTGAAATGAACCGGCCTCGGGGCCGCTGAAGTCGAATGCGATTTTGCGTTTTGCGAAATCCTCCAATGCGTACCATCATTCACAATCCAAAAATATCCCGTACGCGTTGAGTGGTTCTTTTATAGGTATTTTGAGCGGTTCGTTTGGCTTGGTTTTTTCCCACGGTCCAGGCCAGGGTAGGAGCTTTGCGTTTCAAGCCGCGTTTAATTTGCTCTCCACGATTCGACAAGGTGTCGGCCAAACTCATTCCTTGTTGGATATCTTGGAGTCCCGCTTGGGCTTGTTGCACGATGAGAGGACCAGCTAGTTTGATTAAGTCTTCGGCCAATCCTTTTCCCTCTTGGGTCGTCACCACGGGCGTGTGGTAGCGCGTTAAACTTCCTCCTCGCATCTCTGTTCTGTTTTTGTATGGTCTTCTCTCTGATGTGCGTGATGGTTTTTATAGCTGTTTGAGACCTATCGTCACAATGGTTTTGCCGGGGGGTAAAATTGTCAGGGGGCCACTGGTATCAGCAATTTCCACTTCGACGATGTCCAATTGGTTGCCTCGCACTTTTATCCACTGGTGATGCAGTGGTTCCGCCGTACTTTCTCCCTCACCTGTTCTCAATAACTGTACTTCCCGCAGCAAGGGAAACTTGCCACTTCCCACTACAGTGGATTCAACGAGATCCGAATAGACCATAACGGTACGTTTGCGAGTGCCCGCGATCTTTTCGAAGGAGGCATCTAGGTTGTTCAATTGCCATTCCACCAACAAGGACAATTGCAAAAACTTCACACCATCATGGATCCGAACTTGCATGGGATCATGTTCAATACTGCTGACAATATTGCCAAACAATAAGGAGGGATTGACGCCCATGTACTGCGCACCTTCCCAGTTGTAGGGCGTGCGATCGGAGTTCCCTTTGGGTAGAGTGTCTGAATCATAGGTGGCCGTCGGCAGAGTATATTGCATATTGGGCCCTAGGTAATACTTTGTAGCGTTGTTGACAATCTTTTCCTCTACCAACCCAAACTTGAGCGCAATGTCCAGGTTGATGAAAAGGTCGGTGATGGCTTTCTTGTCCGCTTTAAGCAAATCCTTTTGGGCAAGGGCCTTAATTACCAAGGTACCCTTTTTCCAGGTCAGTCGGGGCATGGCGTTTTGTTTGGCACTGACAATAGGTCTTTGGTCAGGTTCCAAGATCAGCCACTGCATTTGTTCATTCATCACATTGTGCATGATTTTATTGTGCACTTCTTGCATCACGCGTTTCCAAAACTGACTCCCCGTCGCCACGATTTGACTCGCATTCATGATCTCTTCCAATTCCAACACGCAGTCCACGGTTTTCACCTCGGCAAATCGGTACACCCCCGTCACCCACTTGCGTATCACATAGCTCATTTTGAATTTCATCACTTTGGTATGAGGATCTGCGGCGATGATGGCATTGCTTTGGCCTTTATCCGGCACAGTCAGGGACATCAACGAGGTGTGCCAGCCTTCACCTGGTAAGCTAAGGCGTTCGGGCAGACGGACCTTGAAACTGTTGTTAGTATTTTTTGGAAACTCGTCGGTCGGGTCGCTGATAAGCGTCAAGCGTTTAATCTCACTCATGATGAGGATACTCATCTAAGAGTGCGTGGTAGTTTTTATAGCTGTTTGAGACCTATCGTCACAATGGTTTTGCCGGGAGGTAAGATGGTCAGGGGTCCAGCGGTACTGGCAATCTCCACTTCCACTATATCCAATTGTTGGCCTCGTAGTTTGATCCATTGGTGGTGCAGGGGTTCAGCCGTACTTTCCCCATCCCCAGTTCTCAACAATTGCACTTCCCGCAACAGGGGAAACTTACCACTGCCCACCACGGTGGATTCGACGAGATCTGAATAGACCATAACGGTGCGTTTGCTAGTGCCCACTATCTTTTCAAAGGAGGCATCCAGGTTGTACAACTGCCATTCAAACGCTGGGAACAATCTCAACCATTTCACATTGTCTGCTGTCATGATAGAAAAGGCACTGCCGATGAAGTTGACGCCCTCGTACACGTCCCCTTCCCAATTGTAATAGGTTCGATATCGACTACCGACGGGACCAGTGCTCTCATCATAGGTCTTGGTGGGTAGAGAATATTGCAGATTCGGGCCTAGCACAAAATCGGACGTCGCGTACCCAGTCTTGCCTGTCTTTCTGCGCAGCAAGCCAAACTTGAGCGCAATGTCCACGTTGATGTAAAACTCCACCATGCTAACTTGGCGATTGTTCATCAAGTTCTTTTTGGCAATCGCTTCAATCACCAGAGACTCCCCTTTCCAACTCAGTTGAGGCATACCGTGTTTATTGACAAACACAATCGGTTTTCGGTCGCGTTCGGCAACTGATGCGTTCCATTGATCTTTCATCACTTCGGTCATGATTTTGTTGTGCAACGTATGCATCACGCGTTTCCAAAACTGACTCCCTGTGGACACGATTTGAGTTGCATTCATGATCTCTTCCAATTCGATCATTTTGGTCGACAATGAGGTGTATATGCTCTCATATCCTGAGGTGGATGGGTCGCCCGTGTCTGTCCATTTGCGGGTACTTATCGGATGTTTGTATCGGATTACTTTGGTATGTGGATCCGAGGCGATGACGGCATTGCTCTGACCTTCATCCGGAACGGTCAGAGACATCAAGGAGGCATACCAACCCTCGCCCTGTAAGGAGAGAGTTTCTGGCAAACGGACCTTGAAACTGTTGTTAGTATTTTTGGGAAACTCGTCGGTCGGATCGCTGATAAGCGTCAAGCGTTTAATCTCACTCATGGTGAACAAGAGGCGCCTCTCAGAGAGTACAAGGTGCTTTTATAGCCACTGAACCACTTTCTGTTTGCTACGAGGAACTCGTCCCACTAAAGAATTAAAGGTTGATTGTTTGGGATAAAAACATACTTGCTGAGCAATGTTGGGAAAGGCCTGGGCTAGTTCCATTAGAGTTAAGCAAGTTTTTTGTTGGGTGGTTTTTTTCTTCTTGCGCATGGGCGGATGACGACCAGCGCGCCGGCGTTGTTTCTTTTGGGCAGCCGTGTAAGAACGAAGAGCTTGTTCACCAAAGGCCAGCCCTGCCATTTTGTTGACTTTGGCTCGTCTTTGTTTCGCCGCTTCCTTGTTAATGAACTTCATGATCTCGACCTCATCCATGTGGGGTGACGTGTCACTGGTTTCAGTGGGTATTGAGTACAGAAACCGTCTACTTCTTCTTTTTCGATGCGTTGTTTGTTTTCTTCGTACCATGGGCGGGAATCCAACTATCGTACTTGGGTGGCCAGCCTTTCCAACGCACTAATACGTTGCGTCCTTTACGTTTCAAGACTTTTTCGACCCGAAATAACGAGTCATCGGACACTTGCACTTTTTGCACATCCGGTTCGTAAAACGTACCTTTTATAGGCGTACCATCCCATTCACTGAGTCGATAGGTCACGATGGGATGTCGACGTACATGCGTCACCACAAACACTTCTTCTGTCCATCCAGGTAGATAGCCTTTTTGAAAGGGTCGATGTTTCTTGTTGAGGCGTACGCGATCACCCACTTGACATTTGGGAGGTGGTGTCTTTTGCTTCAAGCGCTTTCCGTAGAGTCTGGCCCAGACCTCGGGCACAGTTTTTTCTGTGACTTGCTGCGGGGTGATGCCAATACTCCGATGATAGGACTGATTGTACGAGTGGATTAACGGTTGTAACACATCTACATACCGCAAGGTATTGTAGGCTGTAAAGTAGCGGTACATTCGTTGTTTCAACGTGCGATGCCATCGTTCTACCACGGAGGCTTTACTATCCCCATACGTTGAAAAATGATGCCAGTCGTGTTTCTTGAACCAGGCTTGGACTCCTGCATTATAAAATTCTTTGCCTTGATCCGTCTGCACGCGAAGGGGTTGTCGAGGTGAGGTTTGACGACGAATCCCTTCCAACCCTCGTATCATTTCTTTACTGCTTTTGGATTTGATGGGGATTGCCCACGCATACTTGGACAACACATCGATCACGGTCAGCAAATATTTGTTGCCCTTATTCCATCGACTGAGTTTTTGCATATCTACCAAATCCATTTGCCATTGTTCGTCTCGGTCAAACACCAAGGTGGGAGTGGTAGGGAAACGAGTTCGTCGGGGTTTGTGCAACGTATAACTGAGCACGGATTGCAGAATTTGTTGCGCTTGAGGAGTTTTTAATTTGTGGGCTTTGGCAAAGGGGTCTACCCCACCCAAGGCCCCTTGTTCATGGGGATCTTCGTAAGCGCGTGCTAACGACATAGCGCAGTGACACAGATCACTTAAGCCTCTTTTCTTTAATAGTTTTTTTTTGCCAAAAAAACAAAAGTTCCACTACCACTTCTTCTTTCTCTGAGCTTCAGCAAACTGGTTCAACGCTGTTGTTGTTGGAACGTGCTAGGTGCATGCAGTGTCTGCACCGTATCTCTTTGATCTATCTTCTCAGCAGGGTGGCGCTTGTTCTCTGACGACGACACAGCCAACCATGAAGGCATTTGGATTCTTGCTCTGACAAAATTTGACTTTGCAAAGCACAATACCACCAACTCGTCTTTCCTCAATGTATCCAATAACTAATCAACTCCATGCACGAGAGCATTTGAGACCCAAATTGTTCCTCAATGCGAAAATACCACTGGGCTGCCAACGGGAACTGTTTTAACCATACCACATACGTGACAAATCTCCCCACATCACGATGGACGTGCGTCTCTTTAAAGGTTTCTACAGGATCACCCCATTCTTGCAAAACAGGCTGCCCTGAATATTTTAAAAATAAACGAGCGCAAAGAAAACGAATCAAACGCCAACGCAAATAACACCACATTTTCTTTGTCTTTTTTAAAAAATAACTTTAATGACAACTCACTATATACACTTTTTTTTCCTGACTCTTAAACAAATAAAACTCTATATGCATGGAAGAAAAACATGGGTCTAAAAATATGATGTTCTCGCGTATAGTCATTGTCTTCATCATAATATCGAGTGAGTTTCCTGACTGCATTGATTTCATAACCCACATGATAACCAGTCAATAAATGACCATTATACGCATTGGACGATGGACGATGTATATTAACCACAAGATACCCAAAAACATGTACTTTGTAAAATGGTAGATCGGTTCGAGTAAACATGCCTTGGTGACTAGGTTGTACACGATATAGTTTTCTTCTACCAAACAGTTTACATTTCTTGCAACAAAACTTAAAGGGACTATGAACTTTATAATCTACTAGAAATGTAATTGCAGGAAGATCATGTTCGTTAAACCGACGCATTTTCGTCAACTCATTTCCACAATCCCAACAATGATGTTTTCCATAGTCGAATGGAAACAATTGTTCATGCAAGGCTTTCCATCCCATCTCATTTCGTGCGTGAACCATCGGTCGCCAATAAATACGTTCTTGAATAAAATGAGGTAACTTCTTCCAAGGTAATGTCTCATCAAAAATGGACTCCATGCTCAAAGGCAGTGAACGAGTTGGATGGTACTGCTCTTGTATAGTAGACAAAGGGACTTTTGCGTTCGCCGCCGCCGCCGTCTTCGCGCGGGCCACCGCCGCCGCCGCCGCCGCCGCCGCCGCCGTCTTCGCGCGCGCCGTCTTCACGCGCGCCGTCTTCGCGTGGAGCCCCCCCAACCAGTGCTACCTCCTGTTTTCATCAGATTTTTCCGTTTTTCCTCCATGTCTGCTTTCAAGTTGGTAAAGTACTGCTGGAAGGCCATCTTTTTGCAAGCTTCTTTGTGTTCTTGCGCTTTTCTTTTGGCTTCTTCTCGACTAGTTGGCACGGGTAACTGCTTGAATTCAAATCGCATTTCATCTTGCCAGGCTGCATTCTTGTTGGTAAAAGGTTGATCAAACCACTGGAAGTAAGGACATTTCAGCTCTTTCTGCCAATTGTTGCAGCTCAAGTACAAACGATTGGGGTTGCTTTCCGATTGACTCAGTTTCAGCACAGGAGTGAAATGGCAGAAACAATGCAGAATGTCCCAACATTCCATCACATCATGACTGGGTAGTGTGTAATGCAGGGCTTGTAGATAAGCATCGATGTGACTGGCAAATAGGAACACGGGACAATCAATGTCGGGGCAAAACAACACTTCTTGTTTCTCAATCTCATCGGGTGGTTTCTTACGAGTGAGAGGTTTCAGATGAAAGGGGCACGTTAACAAATCCACCACTGCTAAAGAGGCTCGAGGTGGACTCTCACTTTGCGGTCCAGGTGGACTCCCAATTTGAGGGATCATGTCCACTTCAGCCAACAAGGCTTGAATGGCTGCATTTTTTTCTTGTTCTTCTACCCATTGCCCTTCTTTCATCGCATAATTTTTCTCCACCACAATGGGTTCGGGTGTTTCTTTGACAGGATCGGTCTTCAAAGCGGGAGAATCTGTCTCCCATTTGGGTTTTTTCTTCTTTTTTTCTTTGGAGTCAGGTTTATCTTTCTTGGTATATTTTCGTTTCACGGGTGTAGCTTCGACTGGTGACTGCATGATGCAACTGATGAAAATGACGAGTTGCTCCGAGACTATATAAGCGCGATCACCTGATCTTCAACCAATCATTTTGTTTCAACGCGCTAGCGGAACAACTGGATTGACTGGTTTTAACCCGTTTGTACTGGATTGACTGGTTTTAACCTGTTTGTACTGGTTTCACTTGTTTTTTAAAAGAAAACCCGTTTAACATGTTTTTCAAAACAAGTATATTACTAGTGATCCTCAATCATTTCTTCATTCTAACCATGGCTTCTTCCAATCCTGCAGAGCCTTCAAAAACATGGACACATGTCAGGAATTTTGTGGAAAAAAAAGACGAGTTTGCAGAAGAACCCATGGAACATCCAGCGGGTGAAAAATATACCATTGTCACTGGTGGAGCTCAAGGAGCAGATGAATATGCTGAACGACTGGCTTTGGCGTATGAATGTCGGTTGGATATCAAAATAGGTCCCAATCATCCCAGAGCTAAATGTCTTAGCCCCATTCAACCCACTGAAGCCGATCTTTATCATGCTCGTGAATCCATCAAACGAGCCAACCAAACGCTTCAGCGTAAAAGTCCTATTGGTACAGCTACTTATTTTGAAGAATTAATGGTTCGAAATTATTTTATTGCTAGACAATCTTATGCTCTGTATGCCTTTGGTTACTTAGACGCCAACAAGACCAAAGTTCAAGGAGGAACGGGTTGGACCGTTCAACTGGCTTTGGATATGGGGAAACGCGTGTACCTGTTTGACTTGACCGACAACCAGTGGTACGAGTTTATCTATTATCATCTACAAAAGGGTTCGTATGTGAAAAAATGTCAGTTTCAACTCTTGAAAAGTGCTTGTTCTCTCACTCTCTATGATCATGTGGGGATTGTAGGATCGAGACAGTTTACAGAACAAGGTAAAAAGGAGATGAGAGCTCTTTTTCGACGTACCTTTTTAAGATGAACAAGAAAGTTCATTTTTCTCCACAAGTCGAGGTGTATCAACCCATGGGGCAAACCATCCTGTTAAAAAAACAAGCTTTACGAGATGAATCGACCAATCCGGTGCTCTCCTTTTTTGAACAAAGACGTATAAAACTGCGACAACTCATGCATGAACGTCATTTGGCCAGAAAAAGTCGACGCGCAGAACGAGCTCAAGCGAATGAAAGATTATTACAAGACTCTTCACCAGAGTGATTTTCCCTCTTGGGAAGATTACATGCTAGAAAGAATCCAACGAGGATTAGCCGCAGGGTATACATTTCACGAGTGTTATACGCATTGGTTAGAAGATTTTTCCGACACCTTGCATCGATTGAGCGACGAACTGCATGGACAAACTACTGAGCCAGCATCCGCTCAGTAATTCTTCGACTTACAAAGAGTTTATTCGTGATTTGATTCAAGATGCTATTTCTAATCAAGAATACACCTTTGAAAATTTAAATTACGAATTGTATCGGCTGAACACTCAAATCTACCAAGAGTTCACCAAGGAACTGGTTGCTACTCATGTATATACTTCAAGATAAAAATTTACAAGATAAACTCTCGACCACTGGTTGGGCCAGAGATTGGGTGTGGAGTGTAGCTTATGCGATGATTCAAAAATTTGGTATGGATAAAAATGTACACTTAATGCCTCCTAGTGTGGAAGCCTGGAGTAAACAATGGTATACTTACAGAAGTCAACTTGCAGATACTCTGATGGAACTGTTACCCCAACTCACCTTTCATGACATTCATGAAGAATGGCAATGGAAAATGGTGGAAAAACAACATCCCAGTCCGCCAGAATGGGGAGGCAACATGGATTTTTGTTGGAATTTTATGAGACCCAAAGATTCTGTCATTGAAGCTTTATTGTGTTTATTTTCTTTCAATTTAAACAAATATGGTACCTATGATTATGAATTCTTGGGTTTCACGCATCAAGATATTGATCAATTATTTCATTGGCAACGAGATATTCAATAAAACACCTTGTGGAACTGGATGTATTGTGTGTCTTTTTTATTGGTACAAAACGACAACCTCCTCACCTGCATCCCTTCCAGCCACATAAAAGAAATCCTTCCCATCTCACTACATGAGTAAACTCATGCATTTTTTTGAAAATCAACGCAGATACTAAAAGAGAAA